GGGTTTCTTTAAGAACCCTACATAAACCATGAGGTTTTTATGTATGAGCAGCAGTCCATTTAAGCCAATGCACAAAATAATACATTGTGATGGGCTCTCTTCATGTTGATGATCTACACATACATACCTCAAATGAGAATCAATTGTTTAATGATTAGGGCGGATAAACGAACGAGTTTTTTTTGTTTATAAATAAACGAACAAACATAATTGAAAATATATCATAAATAAACATATAAGCAAAATAAATAAACGAACAAACATAATTGAAAATATATCATAAATGAACATATAGTAATGTAATCAAACACATATAAACATAAAAGAAACTTATGAACGAACATAAATGAAAAACATAACAAACATAATTGAAAATATATCATAAATGAACATATAGTAATGTAATCAACCACAAATAAATGAACATAAAAGAAACTTATATGAACGAACATAAATGAACAACATAAAGGAACGTTCATGAACATAATTGAACGAAAGAGACTATTGTTCATGTTTGTTCATTTAACTAAATGAATAAGAATTTGTATGAATGTTTGTTTATTTCCGCCGAACGGTTCTCGAGCAGTTCGTTTACAGCCCTGCCCTATATATGATATAACAATTGTAGGTGTTGGATTTGAATAATCAATCATTATAAAATTATAACCTTCAAACAAGCATTGTTTTTGTGTGTGTGTGAGTGAGAGAGTGTGTATATATGTATGTGTGTGCGACTGTATCTTTTTGAAATCTCACCGAAAATGTCCAAACCAGTCAAAGTCAACTCACACATGCCTATATACAAATGAGTGTGCATCATGTATGTTACATGCAAATATGGTACCGAAAACATTTTTCGTAATTTAAAGACATCTTTTCAAACTCCATTATTGTGAATGTCAAACGATAACGTGTAAGGTCATCTGCTCTTGATCGCAAGTTTTGCTCAAAGAAAACCCTAAACCGGTTTCAACTTTCAAGTGTCCTTTAAATACCTAACAACTCTTCCAAATTTATTAATTCACACTAGGTGTGAGACTCGTGTACTACACGGGTTGATTAAAAAAAATTAAATATCAATGTATAAACATTAAACATTTTTTAAATTAAAATTTTGAAACAAATACAAATGAAATGTTGAATAAGTAAGAAATTCAATCTATATTAATAAAAAATTAATGACTTATTTTAAATAATTTTTCAGAATCACAAATTTCAAAAATTTATTTAAATACAACATTAGATTTTCTATTGTTAAGTTTACCGCCATTATCTAAAATTAATATATTTAATTCATCTTTGTTTTTAACTATGAACAATGCAATATATAACTGCTCATTAGTAAACATTAGTTCTCTTAAAAGCAACCTTACATTCGATAGAGACTGTCACATTCCATTATACAAACCACACTTATGATCAATATTTCTTAGTAACATAATTGAAAAATCGACTTTTAATACCAACTTGTCAATTGATAAACCTGACGGTTTAAGACCATTTAAAACATCATGTGAGTATAAACTTTCATCATAGTCATCGATAAAAAATCTGAATGACAAGACTATAATGATTTAAATATTCTTTTTCAGCCCCGGAAAATAGTGATAACAAACGAGTTTATTTCTTGAACGACTTCATTTTTCGGTGTTTTGATTGCATAATTTTATTTTCAATTATTATGGTTTAATGCCGATAATGATAATTTTTTTGATAAGTTGTTTAATAGTAACTCTTTCAAAGTGCTTATTTTAATTTTAATCTGATTACACCGTTACTTTTGTTTTATTTTTATTAAGTTTCTTCCTCAGTTAACTATTCAATTGCTTAAATATTGTATGGTTTCTTTCAATTAATATATATATATATATATATATATATATATATATATATATATATATATATATATATATATATATATATATATATGACTCATGAATCGTTCATTGCCTAATTAGCTATTGCATCATTAATCGTGTTTTATATTAAGAATTGTTAAGTTTTTTTCCTCATTTTTATTACACTTTCTTTCTTTTTACTCTAAAAGAATTAAAAAGATATAAATGAAGTATAAGCTTTAAACATAAGGGCTAAATATGTTCCATTTGAATATTAGACTTAGAGAATATGAATTCCAAGATTATAAGATGGTTTTCAGATAAAAATAATATTTTAACTAAACAATCTGACAAATTACTCATCACTTTAAAGATAAATTTTTTAGGAAACTCATGTAAAAAAACCACCACCTCCGGCCACCTATCACATCGACATCGTACATAAACAGTACCAAAAGAAAAAAAAAGCAAGAAGTTTTTGTCAAAATACCACTGCCTCCAACCATATGGTCCATCCGATTCAGTTTTGGATACAATTTTATCGTTCATTGCCTAATTAGCTATTGCATCATTAATCGTGTTTTATATTAAGAATTGTCAAGTTTTTTTCCTCATTTTTATTACACTTTCTTTCTTTTTACTCTAAAAGAATTAAAAAGATATAAATGAAGTATAAGCTTTAAACATAAGGGCTAAATATGTTCCATTTGAATATTAGACTTAGAGAATATGAATTCCAAGATTATAAGATGGTTTTCAGATAAAAATAATATTTTAACTAAACAATCCGACAAATTACTCATCACTTTAAAGATAAAATTTTTAGGAAACTCATGTAAAAAAACCACCACCTCCGGCCACCTATCACATCGGCATCGTACATAAACAGTACCAAAAGAAAAAAGAAGCAAGAAGTTTTTGTCAAAATACTGCTGCCTCCAACCATATGGTCCATCCGATTCAGTTTTGGATACAATTTTATCGTTCATTGCCTAATTAGCTATTGCATCATTAATCGTGTTTTATATTAAGAATTGTTAAGTTTTTTTCCTCATTTTTATTACACTTTCTTTCATTTTACTCTAAAAGAATTAAAAAGATATAAATGAAGTATAAGCTTTAAACATAAGGGCTAAATATGTTCCATTTGAATATTAGACTTAGAGAATATGAATTCCAAGATTATAAGATGGTTTTCAGATAAAAATAATATTTTAACTAAACAATCCGACAAATTACTCATCACTTTAAAGATAAATTTTTTAGGAAACTCATGTAAAAAAACCACCACCTCCTGCCACCTATCACATCGGCATCGTACATAAACAGTACCAAAAGAAAAAAGAAGCAAGAAGTTTTTGTCAAAATACCGCTGCCTCCAACCATATGGTCCATCCGATTCAGTTTTGGATACAATTTTATTTCCGGTTTATTGTGATTTGCTGACTTTTAATGATGCAAACTTATCCCAGAATGGAATCCACTTTGCATAGTAATTCTAATTAGAAAAGTAATAACGGATTTGTTAATATCTACAAGTTTTAGAAAACAATTGGTATACATTATAAGGAAAATATAACAAAAAGAAATAATAAATGTAAAACTTAAACCCAATATTATATAATCCATAGTTTAAACATTTATTTGGAAGGAAATTTTAAATGTCTAATATTTATTATTTATATTTGTATTTCTATACACCTTTTAGGATTTAAAGGGACCTTTCACTCAATAAGTTTTAATCAATAGAAAAAATAAAATAACATTATTGTCAAAATAAAAATGGCTAAAATAGCAAATGCCTTGTAGAGTCGTGGTTTTCGGATTACACACAATTAATTGACAAAAAAAAATAAAATATTATTGATACAAAAAGAAATATTTTTATTGGTTCCAAAGAAAAATAAATTAAGTGGACATAATGCTTTTATTATTGTATGCATGGTGACAAAACTTGAAAAGGCAAGTAAAAAACGTATAATAAATTAAAAAATATTAAATCTATTGTTTATTTGAATGAACAAAAATAAGATTTTTATATATAAGGTAACTGTAATTGTAATTCTAAAAGATTGAAAACCACCATATTTGAGGTGATAATTTGATTCTCAATTAATGCTTATTAACTTTATTATTTATAAAATATAAAAAACTTTCGGAAAATGAGAAGTGGAAAAAGCTTATGTGTCATTTTAGGGAGCAAGTGAAATAAAAATACAAATTATAAAAAAAATGACAAGTGGGCAGAATGTTTTTATTTATTTATTAGGGGTAGATATTAGGGGTAGATTAGTTAAATCAATAACTAGATTTAATTCATTTTAGTTAATTCATTTTAGTTAATCCATTTTAATGGGTACTAGAACACCGTAAAGGTTCAAAAATAACTAATAGGGATTTACCGAGTCTTACCTAAAGTGACACAAGTACATCAGAATGTACAATTAGAAAACTCTATTTACTCTGTAATTTTACTTGTCAGAAAAAGGTTTTCTAACTTGTTCTTCTTGGTTTGTGTTCTTACTAACTTACTCTATTGTGGTTTAAATACATGTAATTTTGAATTATCAAACTTTAACTAATCTCAATTTCAAGTTTCACATCTCAATTGATGAAGTGCAATTAGAAAACTTTATTTCAATTTTCAAGTGTATCATCTCAATTGATGAAGTGCAATTAGAAAACTTTATTTCAATTTTCGCATCTCTTTGATGAATTGGTATTTGAATAAACCACCGATACATAATCACTCTCGCCCCTCTCTAATGTCTTTTTTTTTTTTTGACTAATACATTCCAACCTACCAAGGAAATTACTATGATTTTTCGTTTTTTAGTGGTCTAAAAATAATTGTTGTTTCTTGTTTATGTTGCAAAGATATTGATATGTTTTGAAATTATTTTTTCAATTTGTTCAATTTATTTATAATTTTAGCGAGATTATATAAAAACAACATTGATTTTTAGTTTAAAGATGTTAATGTGATGAATATAGTTTTTATTTTTATTTTCTTAATATATTTTTATTGTGATGTTGAATATAACTTTTAACGGGATAGATTTGTGAAAATGTAAAATATATGCATTTTCGGTTAAAGGGCATTTTTGTCATCATCACGTAATTTCATTCCATTCAATCGTCTACCAAACAACACAAATCAACACACATTCCATTCCAGGTGAGTAACCAAACATGACAACTGAATGATAATCATCAATTCCATTCCATTTCTTTGTCATTCCATTCCATCAACCCAAAAATTTCATTCCATTCCAGGTGTGTCATGTTAGAGTTTTGCAAGCAGATGTGCGAGCTGTTCATCAGACACCTTCACATCAACACATGTACCCAATGACACAGCAAGTCTAGCAGCCAATTGATGTTTGCACTGAGAAAGAAGAAACAATAATCAAAATCAAGGAAACAAAAATGGAAATGGAAATGGAAGAAAGCCTTACACAAAGCTGTTCTCTTTTGTTGACAATGTCATAGAAAAATGAATAACAAGCACAATAGTGTTCTGGGAAACAAAGGTATTCTTCCTTCTTTTTAGACTCTCCAGTAATCTGCAAATACCATTTCAAAGTTCAAACCTCAAGCACTGATGATAATTTTCAACAAATAATCAATGGAATTCAGAAGATCGCAACAGAGAAACCTGGAAGATGGAGCGTCCACTGGGTTCTCCGGATATCTTCTTGACACCTCGTTGATCAACTATCCTGCTTGCCCTTTCCAGATTTTTACCAAATAAAGTATGCAAACTGTGTTTTCATGTTGAAGGATCAGTCAATTTATGTGTAAATTGTTTAATACAAGAATCAAGGATAGATTAAGTAGATTACTCACATCGAGAGCTGATCATCCGTCACTGTTCAATCCGAGTTTCAAATGCGATTTAAAAGAACGAAAATCAGACTCAGTTTTGGGAAGGAAAAAGAAGAAGAAGAAGAAGAAGAAGAAGAAGAAGAATTAGGGGATATGAGATCGAAATGAGATAGGATTCATGGTTGTATGCGTACCTGAACGAGTCGATTGGATTTCTGTCCAGATGGTTTCTGCGACTAATAAGCTGCTGGAGGTCATTGTATGTTTGAAGTTTAAACCCTAATTTTGTTTATCTAGTGTAGTAGCTTCAGTAATCAGTAGCAATAAAATGATAGAAATCACTAAATCAGTCTAATCTTCGACATGTATTCTTCAATGATTGAGATATTAGAATTCTTTGAAACACTAATGTTAATTGTTAAAATCAGAAAGTTATAGAAACCGCTAGCTTTAAAATGTGCTAATTAAGCCCTTAAACTCTTAAAATTATTGTGCTAATTAAAACCTTAAACTCTTAAAATTGTAGTCATAGTGAAGACATGTCATGTAAACGATTTATTATCATCTTTATCCTATAACAGTTGATGTCACCTGTGGCAAGGGCAATATGTGCACTTGAGAAGATTTTCTCTTTTCTCCTTTCAATGTTTAAAACCTTTGTTATGTTCTGCTTTTACTCCTTGCTCTGTAGTTACTTGCTATTTGGGTGAGTCTTAATAATATTAATAATATTGCACGTCTAAAAATAAAAGTTGATGTTGCATCCATATAAAAATAATTATAAATCTTTTTAAATTAATTTTTGTTTTTTTATTAGAATAAAATGACTTCTTACACTAAACCCAAAAATGATAAAACTTAAACAAAACCCGACACTAATTGATAGTAGCATATTCATCACAATAAGAAATAGACAAAATTGCAAAAATGGTCCCTGTGATATGTATTTTTTGGGGGTTTTAGTCAAAACCCCGACTTTTTTGGATTAGTGGTCATTTTGAGCTAGTTTCGTTGCGTTTTTGGTCCCTCTGAATAGTGAAATGACTGTAATACCCTTGGGGTATTTATTTTCCATTTTTCTTTCATTTCTTTTTAAATCTAATATTAATTTATTTATTTTAATAATTAAAAAAATAAAAAAGACCCACATTCTCTCTCTCTCTCTCTCTCTATCTCTCTCTATCTTCTCTCTCGTTTAGTGTTTCACTTGCAGAACCCACAGACAAACAAAAAAAATATTAGTCATCTTCATCAAGCTCTTCCTAACTCATAACACACACATACTGATGAACATACACATGTTTCGATTCTGAAACCTAATAAGGTAGCTTGTTTCGATTCTTTCCTTTGTAGAAATTAAATGTTTTTTTTTTCATTTCAAAAAGGATATTTGAAGGTAGCATCTTCTTCTCCCTCTTTCAGCTTCACTTTTTTCAGAATCCAAATGGGGTTTTCTTCGATGCATATGGTGTACAAAACCGATGGAATCCCCAAATCTCAAGGTACAAAACCGATGGAATCCCCATCAAACCCTTACACAATCAGATGCTTCATATTACATAAAAATCAGAAATCATCAAAATCCTGCTTCTAGTTCACTCAATTAGGAGATCGAAAGAGAAAAGTGAGAAGGATACCACGAATGGATTAAAGGAGGTTTCGGACTTTGCATTTGTATGCACTGTGTATCAAGGCACTTAAAACCGATGTATACAGATAAAGAAAAATACAAAAATTATTATTAGATTTAAAAAGAAATGAAAGAAAAATGGAAAATAAATACCCCAAGGGTATTACAGTCATTTCACTATTCAGAGGGACCAAAAACGCAACGAAACTAGCTCAAAAGCACCACTAATTCAAAAAAGTCGGGGTTTGGACTAAAACCCCAAAAAAATGCATACCACAGGGACCATTTTTGCAATTTTGTCTAAGAAATATCACCAAATATATTAGACAAAATTGCAAAAATATCTCTTGTGGTATCCAATTTTTTGGGGTTTTAATACAAACTACTATTTTTTTTGAATTGGTGGTCCTTTGTAGTTTGTGTGATTTTGGTCCTTCGGTAAACTGAAAAGACTAAATTGCCCTTATTATATTTATTTTCCATTTTTTTCCTATAAGTATTTATATATAAAAAATAAAAATAAGGCCTCTCTCTCTCTCATACCCAAACACCACCCCTCCTTTTTCTCTTCTTCACCATCCTTTCTCGTTTTTCCTCCTTCTTCCGGTAAAGGAAGTGTTACAGCCTTACAGGTGATATATTGAAATGGAACCTCAACCGCCAGCTTCATCTTCTCCGACCATGACCCAGCCGCCCACTTCATCTTCTCCGGCCCAGGCTCCGCTCCCACCTTCGATCTACCTGTGATAAAAGAGCTTCTAATTTGGTTTAAGCATTCGTCAATGTTTTCGATCTACAGCATTTCATGCTCTGGGTTTTCGATTTGCACCAAATACGCTTCAAAATACGAATTTTCATCATATATGGGTTGTAATTCAAAGGAATTCGAGAGCCAGACGATTCATAGGGTGTTAAAAGCTCTGATTTCATATGAATTTGTATGTTCGAAACCCTTTCTAGTTTTTTATTAATAGCAGGAGGTTTAAGTAGTTTCGATCTTTGCGTAATTCATCAGTTTTGTGTTCTTGATTTGATTATGTGAATTTGTTTTTAGGGATATGAGTAAACTTCGTGAGGTTGTATGAGTTTAATCTAGACTCAGGTACAGATGGTTTTGTGACAAAGGTTTGGACGAATTTGACCTTGGTAGCATTGTGTTTAATCCTTGTTCTAAACTATTGGGATGATGTATGTTCCAATAAAGAGCTGACCCAAATACACACAATGTTGAAATCACAACCAAAATTATCAAGCAACACCTGAAACAAGACCCATATATCATTGTCATCTCTCGTCCCCTCGCGATTCAGTTATTTCTGAGTGTGTTTGAAAGCTATATCACGAGGAAATATTAGTCATTTCAGTTTAGCAAGTGATCAAAACCTCAACCAAAGTAGTTTAAAATGACCACGAATCCAAAAAAGTCGAGGTTTGGACCAAACTTCAGAAAAAATACATACAACAAAGACCATTTTTGCAGTTTTTTCAATATATAATTCAGTCAATTTCTTATTTATTCATATAAAATACAAAGCAATCTTATATTCTTATATAAACCAATAAAATAATTTATGTCCACATTTTTGCCTGTAATAAATAATTAATATCGATCCAAATCTATATTGTTAACTAAATTTCCTATTAGAAAAAAAAATGAAAAGATAAGCACAAGTTTATGTGTCTTGTATATTTAGGTTAAGCTTTTTAAAACAATTTATTAGGTTTCACACCACTATAAGTTAAAAAAGAGTGGATGAAAATAACTTATTCCGATGGGTAACCTCTAATAAGTCATTTTTTCATAAGTTACACTACACTTACTTATCAACTTAATAAGCTAATAAGTTATAAGCTAATAAGCAATAAGTTTTTTTGCCAAACACCCTTTATTCTTACTAAAATTGCTTTTTTTGTTTAAATTAAACCTAATAATATAAACCAAAAACCAAATATATATATATATATATATATATATATATATATATATATATATATATATATATATATATATATATATATTATCGATATGGTTACTCTAAAAATCAAAAACCAAAACTTACCGTTCATTTTTTTTGGGAAGTGATTTGTACACAACAATTTTTATCCATACATAACAATTTATGTTTAATTGAGTTGTACAATACAACACTTTAAAGCACAAATTGTTGTGTATGGAAAAATTTTGTTGTGTACGAATCAACTCCATTTTTTTTAACCAAAACCAACGGGAACCAAAACATAATCATCGTGTCAAGAATATATTGTGGTCTTCGTGTCAAGAATATATTGTGGTCTAAATGTAGTATTTAGGCTTTTTGTTGGAAATAATGTCCAAATTCAATAGCTAGTATCATTCAACCTTAATAAGGTTCAAAAAATAGTAACTATTAAAACTTTTAACATGTAATATTAAAATCTACCGACTTATTGGTATTCTTGTGTCATCCATTGAATAATTGTTGACCTTTTGAAATTCACATAGTTTTTTTAGGAATACATCTCAACTTGAGATGATTCAATCGTATTTATAAAAGTGTATTCACACCAAAATAATGTTTAATTGAAAATATATTTGAGAAAGTGCATTTTTATAAATGAGTTAATTAAAAATTGTTTTGAAAACTTTTTAAAATATTAATTCTACATGAGCATAGATGCATACATGACAAATTACATGGTTTCAAACTCTCTATACAAAATCATTCAGCCAAACTACACACCAAACTATCAATATACAACAAAAGCCGGCATCTAAAGCTCTAGGGTAGCCAACTGTTCACTAAGACTGTATTTGACAGACTAGTTGAAAACCTGGCTTTTGCTAACAAGCCAGATTATCTTAAAGTTCACTCCAATAGTTTTTTTAAAAAGTCAGCTTATAAGTTCACTCCAACTTCAGTAGTCTATGTGCGTCAAACAGTCTAATCTTTCATTAAATTTTCACGGTACATTTACATTTACGGTTATACCCTTTCTACAATTTGGGCAAGCCCCACATGCCCTAATCCATGGAATCAAGCAGCCGGAATGGAATACATGAAAGCAATGCAATCGTATCACTTCATCACCATTCTCAAAACCCTCCAAACAAATCGTACACTCCCTTGAACTCTCATCACCTTTTCCATCATCACTAAAAACCTCTAATTTTAAACAATTTAACACATCTTGATGAAGTCCAGGAGGATGAGGATGATGATGATTTCTTGTTAATGGTTGCCATGATTCAGATGCCATTTCTTCATACAGATTACTGTCATCTTGATGACTGTTTGATGAAGAACTGCTGCTTTGTCTATAATAAGATTATTGTTAATTTTGATTAACACGAGTTTGAATTTTGAAAAATTGATGAAATTTTATAATACCTGTTTTGAGAAACAGAGACACCTCTCAATCTTTCAAGAAGTCTTTCTCTTGCAAGTAATACAGATCCAGGAAGCCTGTCATTCCCAGTGGCTCTGTGTCTGTGTATGCTTCTGAAATCTTCTGAATTTATAATGCTACCGGTTGGAGATTGATTATGAACTTGTTCAGGGTGAAATGATTCATGTTCCTGATTTTTAACAACGAATAGCATCAGTAATTGTATGCTTAAGATCATCTAATGCACGTAAAGTGAGCTACTGTTGATTTTAGGTTTTGATAGATTTAATTTAACCGAGAAACTAAAAGTGGTTCATTCATGGTGTGTTTTGGGGATTTTGTAATAGAAGTCAGAAACATCGGGACAATACCGAATGATCGAGGCGACGGCGGTGGATCCGCCGGGAAGCAAGGTCACAGCCATCGTCGTGGCGATTTTCACGGCGATTATAGCGACGGTTTGTGGTGCGGTGTTGGAGAGAAGATGAAGAAGAACTGGCGTCCGGTAACGAGGTATCAAATCCTGAAAACTCGACGCCGTTGTAGCGAACACCAAAGCGATACCTCCGGCTATGAAATAGCTCTGAAGCACTTGTCATCCACAACATTCAGAGCAGAAATCCTCTGATAGAAACTAGATTTGCGTCAATTTTAAGTTAAATGTACAGAAATTTACACTCACGAAGATACATGAAAAGGATTAAAACTTGTACCTTTGAATGATTATGCGTTGATGTGATGAATTCGAGAGTGTAGGGAACAAAACTAGTAGGAGCTTGTAAAAAAGGTGAGGGCTTCTATGAAATTGGTAAAGCCGATTTGGGGATATTTCAAAGGAAACACGTAAGAACTGGAAAGGGATCAGATTTAAGTCAATATAACGTCAAATTGACTATCTAGTACAACATGGGTCGGCTTCGTTGGGTTTGTCTTAAATGCACAACTAAATCATAGTAATAATTTGATTCCACATTTAAATTGTTCGAGTTTAGTTTATTTTTGACAAGATATTATGAATTCAAAAAAATAATAATAATAATAACAAACGTTACATTGTTAACCGTGTGGTTAGTTTTTAGATGATATCTTGTTTGATTTTATGTCGTTTATTTCACCCATGTCCCCCCACAAGAGGGCACTTCTGTTTTTTATGAATTTATTTCTCATTTTCCACATAGGTTATACGGTGTACAATCCAAACGATGCATGGTGTTGATGTGGCATGCATAGCCATGTGGAACCCCCCCCCCCCCCCTCCCTTTCGTGGTAAGGGTGTCGCGTGGTGAGATGTGATGTAGTCCATGACATGCAACATTCTTCTTATGTATTGGTTGGTGCATCCTCACCGACATGAGGATGGTGAACATCATCCCCTCCTTGATGTAGCGATGTGAAAGTTGACGTGGTCATGGGGTGTGACGTGTCTCTACCACTTCCTTATAGTGTTCACTTCTAGAGCTATCCACCACATATCTTTTTAAGCACATTGAGAAAACCTTATGATGTTAATGGAAAGCTACAAATAATCAATATATTTTAAATAAAATTGATCAAACCTTAATAAAAGGAAAAGACTTACAAAAAACCCAATTTATTATTCTTTAATATCCGAAAATCCATTATATTATTATTTTGTACAAAAAATGCAACTTTATTTTTTGATCATTCCTAAAATAATGTTTTGTAATGGTCAAACCTATAACAACCGATTACCTAGCATTTCTGGTTTTAAAAAATTCAACTAATTATTATTATTTTTTGTACAATAAACTCATTTTATTTTTTGATTTCATACAATAAAACCATTTTATGTTCAGATTTTATTCAATAAAACAGTTATCTTCTCCTCTCTTGAGAAATGATCATTCGTAAATTTTTTAATGATTCTATAAATGAATTGCAGACTATAAATAATACAAACTAACCCCAAGACTACTTGATCCCGAACAAAGTAAATGTCAATGTTTTTGTGCTTCATACGTTGATGTTGCACATAAATTGAGTTTAAGTATATGACATTGAAGTTGACATAATAGAAAATGGTGGCATTGGCGGTTGAGAAATAGAGTCATTCGAGGAGATTGGAAACCCATTATGCTCCAGCGAGTGCAGTTACCACTTTATGGTATCTGACACTAAAACGAAATAAAAAATTGTGTATACTCAAGAGTCATTATAGAATGATATTGTTAATAACATATGATTTTATAGGGTCAAGTCTTATAGCAAGTTATCACTAATTGATTATTTATTAGAGTAATTTTGATTATTAAAAATACCAAACCTTGTATTTAATTGGAAAAATATTATTTTATGAAAATAATATTTTCCAACATATTATGAATTACTGTTTCTAGAAAATAATAATATTAATGAGAACAAAACTAGTTATATATGCATAATGTATGTATTTAAATGTTATGCACAACTTTTTGGGTGATAATAGTTAATAAGTAACTATCTACTTGTTGGTAAAGTAAAAGAGTCTTCACCTTTTGTCCCCTTGCCATCATGGCCGAAAATTGCTAGTAGATGGCATGGGATTGCTTTTCATTTGTTTAATATATCAACCATGCATGTAGGAAAAGACTTTACTAATTTTGTGTAACGTCCTAAAACTTAAGACCAAAACTTTTGTTTTTTAAATTAATAAAACTGTAATCCAAACATCATCGTAAAAACCAAGATAGAACAAAGTGTGTCAAATACATCATGAAACATCAGAGTAATCACAAAAATGTGGAACGAGGTGGTGTGTGCACTGCAATCATCCCAGGCTCTTCCCTTTTCGAACCAGAAGTATCTGAAACATAAACTGAAAACCGTAAACACAAAGCTTAGTGAGTTCCCCAAAATACCGCATATCATACATAATAAACACATAATGGGCCCCGCCTGGCATCGAGCCCTGCTCGGTATACAGATCTGCCAGTCATCAGGCCCCCCTGTCATCGGTCCCCGCCCAGTATACATATAAACATATAATCATATAATCATACAAACACATGCGATAATCACAAAGATAATATCATAAAAAATAGTCATCGGGCCCCACACGGCATCGAGCCTTGCTCCGTAAGCATACAAGCACATAACAAATGCAAGAGTCACGCAAACATCTAGCATCCTAACATAATAAACCATGGTCTGGCATTGGTGCCTTCGACCCGCTAAACATAGTGAGGAAACTCACATCTAACTGCTGAATCACTTGAATGAATCTCTGACTGCTGGTCCGGAAAATCCCCGCACTACCCAAAATCAATAACATCTAATTATTAATTGGATTCTTACCCATAACAAAAAGTCTATGTTATTTAGCCCATAACCAGGGTAAAAGACCATTTTACCCCTTATCAAACTTGGCCCAACTCAACTATTCTAAAAGGACCAAATCATGGCCCAATCTTCCAACTTGGGCCCAATACCCATCATGGCCCTAAAATCCAAGGAAGCCCAACATGCTAGCCCAAAGCCCAAAAACAGAGGTCTAATGGCCCAAACTTTCAAATCCATACTATGGCCCAATACCGAAAATGTCCAAGCCCAAATCACCCTCTGTTGAGTACGCGGGGCGTACTTAGCTCGTACGCCTAGCGTACTCCCCTATCCTCATGTTTTCTTCATTAAGCACTTAAACAGTTAAGCCTTTACTCCAAACTCTCAGTTCTGCTCCCTATAGATGACTTATCAAGTAAAGTTGGCAACTTTACATACATGCATGGCTTAATGGGGCTCAAGAGCTCAAAAATAGCTTAACAAAGGTCTTAACACATGCATGGGTCGAAATACTCCATAAAGTAGACATTTTTATGAACATGGGGACTGAAGGGAGCTAAGATTTAGCATCCATTGCTTCTGGAGTAGATCAAGAGCTCACATTTAACACAAAAGACTCAAAAGTGCACAAAATACCCCATAAACTAGATCTAACATATATGTGTTGGATTAATGTCTAAGCCCATAACTATTTTGGTATGTACTTGAGCCGATTGTGAGCATGGTCCTTTTGGGTTGCCTTCATCAAAGCAACTTGATAGGATGATTTGTGGAGAAAGAGATTAATTATGATTTATTAATATATTATGTGAATAATATATTATAAGAGAAATCATATTATTTAATTAATAATAGTCAAGAATTAATGAGAATTAATTTTGTGGCTAAAAGACATTAATTAAATAAAAGGGACTAGAACTGTCAATTGTGTGATAGTTAAATATTGGGCTAATGGACTCCATAAGGATGGAGTGGACGAAATCTATGGGGAAACTCATAAGAATTTGTCCAAGGCTTCTAAGGAGGGAGTCCATGGGCTGCTTAGGGCCTAAGTAGTCAGATTAGGGTTTCCTAGTTCAAAACCCTAATAGTGTGCATGCTTGGTGCATGGGACAAATGTTGTTATAATTCAAGTAATAAGTTGATTACCTGAAACAACAAATAATGAGTAATCAATATGGTGATTAAATAAAAGTGTTTTATTTATACTCAAAAGTTTGGGGCCATATAAGATTAGTATTATCCTTGTGTTTCACTTTGCATGTTTTGACTTCCTGACTAATAAGATTATTCGAACGTTCCACAGTCGCTCATACTTTGGGAGTAGGTATGAAATAAGATTGTCATGAATTGGTTGTAGATTGTCCAAAGTGTATTAGACATAGCAAAGGTTTGCTGCAACGTTCATGAGTGCTTATGAATAAGATTTGAGCATTGGATTAAACCCATGCTCACTTGGATCGCTTCATGGATTTTATCACGAGTGATTGGTAAGACGATAATATCTTATATTCTTGAAACCGAGATGTGTGAGTTGTATATTGCAAATCGGTTGCACATTGATAATATGTAAACGCACCAGTAACTTGGTGTTATAAAACATATTATTGTGTATGATTCGGTGAGTGAGTACAAGCGAGCATTGAGTCGAAGTTTATCTGTTCCTTTTACCCAATGTGGGATAAAAGCGATATCTATGGGCCCCTCGATGATTTAGTGATGACAAACGTAAGTGCTCGGCCGGGCCAGGAGAATTTGATTTGTTCAATTAGTCGGTCGTCATAAATCGGAAATCGAGAAACAACATATGAACAGAGAGTATGATTAAAATCCATGTCTCAGTTCATACGATATCTAGAATGGAGGAATATATGATCCCTTATCTAAAGGACGTGTATCTGATATGATCAGAGTTGACAGCGGCTTTTGAAAGCTACGATTGCTGATCAGGTTTGAAGTCATACGCAGAATAGTTATTAGACTTATCCAAGTGGGAGACTGTTGGATTAGTGTCTAAGTCCATAACTATTTTGGTATGTACTTGAACCGATTGTGAGCATGGTCCTTTTGGGTTGTCTTCATCAAAGCAACTTGATAGGATGAGTTGTGGAGAAAGAGATTAATTATGATTTATTAATATATTATGTGAATAATATATTATAAGAGTAATCATATTATTTAATTAATAATAGTCAAGAATTAATGAGAATTAATTTTGTGGCTAAAAGACATTAATTAAATAAAGGGGACTAGAACTGTCAATTGTGTGATAGTTAAATATTGGGCTAATGGACTCCATAAGGATGGAGTGGACGAAATCTATGGGGAAACCCATAAGAATTCGTCCAAGGCTTCTAAGGAGGGAGTCCATGGGCTGCTTAGGGCCTAAGCAGTCAGATTAGGGTTTCCTAGTTCAAAACCCTAATAGCCTCACATATATAAGGACCCCTAGGGCACCAAAACGTGGAAAAGCATTCTTTAGGGTTCTTGGACGTTTTTTGGTGCCTCCTTCTCTTCTCCTAAGTCATCCTCTTGCTCTTGGTGTTTGTGAGCCATTAGAGGTGTGACATTTGTGACACTAAGCTTTCAGAAGTCAATTACAAGAAGGAATAGATTGTTATTGCTACATAACAATCAAGGTAAGATCTAAACCCTATTCTTATGTTAATATCGATTATCACATGCTAGATCTAAGGTTTATGAGCTTTGGATGATTATTGCATGTTCATTAGACAAACTAGATCCAAAGCTTTAGGGTTTTCATGTACACCATAGGAATGATGTAGTGCTCAAAACCTATCAATATGATCATCAAGGTGTGAGCTTTTTACCTCAAAAAGCTTGCAAATGAGAAGCTATCCCTACATCTACAAGCTCAAACCACTCCTTCAAATGTTCCTCTTCTTCTTCTCCTTCACAAACCACCAACAAACACTCTTTCAAGCTTAAAACTCACCAAATCACTCTAGGGGTCGTTTTCTGGGACAAGGAGGATGGAGGTTGGTCAATAGAGGTACAAGATGGGGTTTAAGACATTTAAATAGGGTACAAACCCTAAACATTAGGGTTTGCCCCATCCTTGCGTACTCCACGTACACCCCGCGTACGTGGGTGGAATCCGTGATCGGGCA